TGTGCATGAACATGGGTTATACATGTGGGCCCAAAGCAGTAGTATACAGAGCTCATTGGAACATCATCCACATGAAGTACACTTCTGATGTATCTAAACCAAGTGACTTTAAACATCTGAATAACATTTGGCTGTCTTTCAGATTTCATCTCCCACTCATCTTAGCTTCTTTTCTCAACCTACTATAATCTGACCTCCGTTCCCAGCACTTAACTGAAATTGCATGGCAAAGGTCATAAATGATTTTCTCATTGCAAACCCAAAGAGCATTTAAAAATTATTATCAAAGTTGTCTTTTGTTATAAAACTCAAATAGTTTTACAAAGTATATAACATAAAAAAGCAGTTTCCAACCCTGAGCCTCCCTATTTCCAATTTTTTATTTCAGAAAGGCAATTATATTCAGCTCTTTTAGAAGCTTCTTCTGAGTACGTAAGAGGATTATGCCTACTGTTTCTTCATTTGTGTGTGTGCGCGTGCGTGCATGCGTACGTGCGTGTGTGTGTGTGTGTTCTTATTGTATTGGATGTTTTCCATTTGTCCCTTGGATCTACTCTCTATCCTTTTCCTTGCTTACTGTCCAGAGAAACTCACCTGTATGAATCACATCGGTGGGTTTACGAATGGTCCCTTTGGCTTTCAGTTGAATTTGTTGTCTAGTTAGGAGAACCTGAAGAGGAGATGAGAGAGGAAGAGGGAGAGAGGACAGTGATATTAGAATATTTATCCCCATGGCTCCCTCCTTGATGATCTACTCTAGCTGGCTGAGTTTTCACTGGATGTCACTGCTTCTCTCAAGGAGGGCTACTCTACTTGATCCTCATCCTACAGTATGGTCCCCAGGTACTCCATTCTTACCCCTTTGGGCCTAAGGTTGGTGTCAGTGCAATTGCTACTAAGTCTTGGGTTACTGCACTATCTCTTGTAGCTTCCCTACTCCTGCATCTTTATAAATCATCCCTTTGGAAATAAAATCTCCTCAGATTATCCCATTTAGAGTGTACTACTATCTGTGTTCTGTTGTGCCAATTCTTGGTGTGCTTACCATGAAAGATAAAGATTTAGCTTTCTTACTCCCACTTCCTTGCTCTGCACTCTATACTTAAGTGCGCGCACGCACACACACACACTTTTGCCATGGACTGAATGTTTGTCCCTCCCACCCAAATTGTGTTGCTTTTTGGACATATGGTTCTGGGAAGATAATTAGGTTTAGATGAAGTCATGAAGGTACGGCCCTCATGATGGGATTAGTGCCCTTGTAAGAGGAAACACTGGAGAGTGTTCTTTCTCTCTCCTAGAGAAGAGGGCTCAGATTCATGAGTCATTATATGGCATTCACTCAGTCCTCTTGTTTTTGGTATGCTTCCCTTGCCCTCAGGTGATTCAGGTGCCCCCAACCCTCGTGTCTCTTCCCCTAGTAAACATCTAACCTTCTGCGAGGGCAAGGAAGTGGCAATCTCTCAGCTACACTGGATGTACGAGGGGAGCTGGCTTTATCACTGTTCCGCTGAAATTGTTCACCAAGTCTTTTTATTTTTTATTTTTTTAGTTCAATTATATCTCTATCTTCAGAGGTACCTGGCATTTCCAATTCCTGTAGTTTTTTGAGGCAGTTATATAAATCATCCTTCTTCTAGGTTGTCCTATTTCAGCTTGGTCCAGCTTAGTTTTCACCTTTCTCTGATCCAGTTGGTTACCACTGCTCCACCTGCCTCCCACCTTGTATTACTGGGTTCCTGTCATCTAGTCTCGCATTAACTGTGCTCGCAAGGCTGTGTCTTTTTTAAATCCACTAGCATTCACTGTAGTGCACTTTTATTACAAAGTGGTCATAATTACATGGGTTCAACCCACCATTTCTAATGAGTACTTTCTTGTTCTCAATTTGCTTTACTTTGCTGCTGCAATTGAAACTCTAGACCACCCATTCTAGAAACTTTATCATTCTTTGGTGTCTGTGACCACAGCATTTTTTCTTCTTCTTTTTGCCATATCACCTCAACTCCTTTCCTGGGTTCTTTCTTCTGCCACTGCTTATCCCTTAAATGATGCTGTTTCCCAGGTTTCTGCCCTCTTTATGTTTTCATTTACACATTTTCTATAAACAACCTCATCCACTTGCAAGGATTTAACCACTTCCTTAATGTTGTTGAACCCTAAATCTATGTGGTTCCAAACTCACATAAAGCTCTGAAACCAGACAGAGGAAAAAAGGACCCTGTCTTCCTATATCCTAATTAGGAAAAACAAATATGTACCATATCCAAATATTTAGAAGCCTCACTAAAAATCTGAGTTTAAAGTTTGAAGAGAAGGTATTTCATAAGCTCTATTGTTTATATTTATCTTAATCAATTTCCCTCCCCAACCTCAAACATGATAGGAAGCCTGGAAGGGGCAAAAAGATACAAAATATTTCCCTGAAAGAGTCAAATAGGTGAATATTCATGCATGCCTGTGTGGAGGTATTAAGTATACAAGTGCACTTTTTATGTTGGATGTGGGGCAGTCACAGTCTTGTTGTGTACAGGTATGTTAGTGGACAGATAAATATGAGCTCCATGGAGCAAGAAATTGAGCACAGGAATTTTGAGTTCAAACTGATAGCTCCTCTCTTATATTTCTTATCTTGCTTCCATGAGATACAATATCTTTCCCAGGGATGGGCAGTTTCCAACATGTAGATTAAATCATTAGAAACCAAGTGCCACAGAGCTGATGATGAGATGTAGTGTTGAATGACTGATATACATGGATGCAAAGGATCCAAAAGATCCTAACTTAGGATTGATTTAGGATTTCTAAGGTAATTTTTTTACCAAAAGCCTTCTGCAGTTCCTGTCTTTCTACCTAAAATAGCACTTTCATTTTTTCCATGGTTTTTATCTGTTTATTTTATTTATATTATGTGTAACATAAAATAAGCAAATTGTGTGTATATTTCAGTTTCTCCTATTTTCTGGAGCAGAATAGGATATTCATAGATCATACAGCAAACACATTACACCAAGCCCCAACAAACAAGCACTTATCAGATTTGTGATGTCTAACTGGCTTAAGCAAGTCACATGACCAAGCCCACAGTCAATGTGGGACAGGTCTACATAGGGGAACGAATACCGTAAGGTATGATTCATTGGGACCACTACTGTAATAATCTACCACTAAAACCTACCTGGGAAATGGCTGATCCAGTTACCAAACTTTCAGCAGTCTGTTTCCAGAGCCCACACACAAAGCTGGTGTCCTAGAGACTACTAGTGATAGGCTCTTAGTGAGGAGCTTTTCCAAACCTTACTTCCCAGGACCCCACTCCTAACCCAATAAATCAGAATTTCTTGAGAGTAAGAAATATGGGGGAGAGGGTGGTGCTAATACCAAGAATTTGAGACTGAAATAAGTCTGCAGAGAATACCAACACACACTGGGGCTGTAGAGGGTTTCAAAGAGAAGAAAGACATTGTCTCTATACTCAAAGAACTTAGAGTTTCCACAGAATGCATTTTTAATTGTCACTGCTGTACTAGAAGCCTCGAGATTTTTTTAAACATTGCTTTCCGTGTCTGTGTAGGTTAGAGCAGTGGTTTTCAAACTGTTGTTGCATCAGTATTAACTGGAGGGCCTGTTAAAACACAGACGACTGGGCCCAACTCCCAGTTTCTGATTCAGGTCTGGGTGGAGCCCAGGAATTTGCGGGTCTAACAAACTCTGCTGTCTAGGGACCATACTTTGAGAACCACTGAGAGCAGGAGGATTTAATGACATTCCTCCCTCTATTTCACATTTATACATTGCACTTACATGTTTATAGCACGTCTGCAATATACAAGGGCTTAGGCTGGCTGCAGCTGCGGGTATGATAAAGATAGGATTGGGATCTTGATCACACTTGAGCAGATTTAGTCTGTAAGTGGATCTATTCTCTAAGACAGGAAGCCTGTCATTAAGACAGGTTCAGATGAAGAGAGAAAGGAAAACTTGGAGTAGGGGACTCTGAGGTGGGTCCTAAAATATGCCTAGAACCTGACATTTGTAAATAGTGAGGAACCGCGACATTCTGTTTTGGCATAGAGAAAACAAACACACCTTGACAAACACCCCGAAAAGGTCTGTGACATTCTTGCCTCCAGCGCTCCGGCATTGACAATCTGCAAGCTGTTGGCATCAGTACGAGGAAGGGTGGTCTTAGGGCAGGCTCTCAGTCTCAAACCCTTCTTGCGAAAGGGTAGAATTGGCCTCGACCTCCCCAGCCCCTTTTTTGGAGCTCCCAGAGCGGGTACCTCAGAGACCGAAGTTTCTGCCTGAGGCCACAGTGGGCGCTGACTTGGCAAAGAGCGCAGCTTGGGCGCTTCAATCTCCAAAAGCTGAGAAGGTGTGCTGTGACCTCGCGAGGTTCAGAGCAGTAGCGCAGCTGTCGGGAGACGCCTGGCCGGTAGCCACCTGGCCCGTGCCAAGAGAGGAGTGGAGCACGCTGGGACATTGTTCCGAAGGGGCCCCAGATTTAGGCATCGCGCTAAGGCGGGCCGGGTGACAGCTGCACTACCCAGCCTGGCGAGGGGCTCAAAGCTCTTCCTTGCTATTTACCCCGCTGGACTTAAAGACGACGGATGCCAGCATAATGGGGGTGCGCGCCCTCTTTGCCTCCATTCCAAGAACCGGAGGGGGTGGGCACGCTTGTGCACGCTCCTCACCAGAGGGAGCGCGGCCCGCCAACCAGCCAACTGCGCCTGCGCGGCCCCGCCCCTCTCCGCCCCTTCCCTTCGCCCCGCCCCGTTACCCCTTTTACCGCCGCTAGGGGTAGCGGCGTTGGCTGCGGCCTGAGAACTTGGCCGCTTCGAGGGCTCAGGAGCCGTTCGGAGTGGGAACCAGGGGTGGCAAGAGGGTGGGAAAGCCGGCAGGAGAGAAGGGCGGCGCCGGAGGAGGGCGGTGCGTGGCTGACTCATCCCTCTGGAAAGGCAGGCTGACACACACGAGCCTTCGCCGAACCCGCCCGCCCACCCCGCTCCTCTCAGCTGGGAGGCGCCCGCCCGCACCGGCCACCCGCCCTCTCCGGCAGCTCTCCCAGCCCGACCGCCTTAGACAAAGTTTTTCTCATCCGAGGGATCGGAGGCGCCGTGAGCCTTCTGGTAGGGAACGGGGGACGGAAGCGGAGGCGAGCGCTGTGCGGGGTCCGGGGAGTGCATGGTTCCCGGCGCCTCGGCTGCCCATCTGGAGGACATCGGGGCGGGGTCGGTTGAGCCCCGCTCCTTCTTGTAGCCTCAGCCTCGCCACAGATCGCCCTCTGGGACTGCTGCGGGGGTCCCCGCTCCCCAAACCGCCATGTCCCGGTTGCTGCCACTGCTGAGGAACCGGACCACGCGCAGCCTGAGGCCGGGCCCGGTCGCCGCCGCCGCGCCCCGCCTGCCCTCCTGGTGCTGCTGCGGGCGGGGGCTGCTGGCGCTCGCAGTCCCCGGGGGCTCCCCCGGCGGCCGCCGGGGACTGGGCACCCATCCCAAGAAGGAGCCCATAGAGGCGCTGAACACGGCGCAGGGCGCGCGCGACTTCATCTACAGCCTGCACTCCACCGAGAGGAGCTGCCTGCTCAAGGAGCTGCACCGCTTCGAGTCCATTGCTATCGCCCAAGGTAAGGGGGGTACTGGGGGTTAGCCCGGAGGCCTGTCGCTCTCCCCTGTCCCGCCTACCCCGGGACGCCCCGCAGCCCCTCGGCCTGGGACCCCCGCCGCCGCCCCACCCGCCGGCCCCCCTCGCCCGCCTGGCCCCGCGCCTGGGACGTCCGAGGGGGGAACTTTCCGCCTCCTGAGTGTCCTCGGGGCAGGTAGGACCGGCGTGGATTGAGCCGGGCATCCAGGGCCAACGCGTTGGTCGGCTGGTTCTTCCTCAACCTCAGAAGCCCGAGCCTCAGCCCTCATTGCCAGCCGATACTATTTTGATTTTGTTTTGATTTGCTGTGTGCCTCCCCTCCCCAGCCCCCTTGTCCCTAAGTCCTCGAGGCTTTCTTGTGAGCGTGCAGCCGTCCTAGTGGCATGCATGCGTCCTCTGAAAGTGCTATAGACCCGAGAGGCAGGGAGAAACTTTCTTGAATGGTTATGAAACGAAGATGTATGGGCTCCTCTAAGAAGGGATGTTGCTTCATAGGCGGAGATGCTCTCCGCCGATTGTTTGCGCACACATCTGGTTGTATTAATTTGTGCGGCCGAAGGAAACATTTCCCTGGGAAATGGAAAGACTGGATCAAACCAGCAACTGCAGATGTATACTGGCAAGTCCGTATGAATTCGGTTCTTCGCTAGTTAAATTCCAGTTTTTGTTGTTTCCCCAGAGGTTGAAAGAATGAAGTAAACAAGAAGGTTATTTTCTGGGCAATTGTGGCTCTACAAGAAAAAGCGAACTTCTGCTCGAAAGTAATCTGGAACGGTGAAAGCAAAGCTATTTTTAAGCCGACATGTTAAAATGGGATATTTTTAAAACCAATGCGGAATGCTGGCAGGTCAGAATTTGAGTCCAGCTGAAAAAGCTAAAAATTCATAAATTCAAAAGGATGAAAAGAGCAAAGGATAAAATCATTCAGTCTTAAATATTTTTGCCATTTAAATACGGTAATACAGACAAAATACATGGCTACTATTTTATATTACATTCTGATGTGTTTGAAAATTAAAAGTTTACTTTCCCCCTAAAGTTTCTAGGTTCCATTCTATAGATTCCTTAAGTGTAGAGCACATTGATTTGGAACAGGGCATTTGGTTTGCTACAGCCTTTGGAAGGTTTTCCTTTGGTCTATGCACAGGAATGAAGGAAAGAGTAACACAACTCATGTACACATGACTTATCTATGCTATTGATACTTCTTCAGAAACTTTTTATTAGTTGTGCCTTTTAACCACTTTTTTCCTTCAGTTCAGGGAATTGTGGACCAATGTACAGTATTGGATGATTCAAGACATCATCTACCCACAGTGCTTTTACAGTAAAAAATGTAACATTTCAATCAATTCATTTATTAAATGCGTAATCATGTTCTATGGAGTCATAATCAAATGCTAGCATATTTTGTAAGCTATGTGTGTACTCAGTATGTGGTTTTTTAAATACTCAGTTCTGAAAATGAGGTCCTTGAAAAGCAATATATACACTCATATGCCAAAACATTAATTTTAGGAATCTTTCTCTATGGGCAAGACTATTAAAAAACTCATTTGACTTTTTCTAAGTTATTTCTTGGAAATGCTGCATTATCATTGTTACAAGATTGGAGGGCCCTATTAATATAATTTTATGACAATTTTTGAAAAAGCATTCCAGGTTAAATTTTTCTGTCATACATATTGTACACTACAACAGAGATACTACCTACATTTTCCAATAAAGATCATGTTTTTAAATTTAACATGGTTTTAAGTATGCTAGAAAGGACCTATAAACTTTAGTCAGTGGAGATCAGTTAGTGTCAATTATACTTAATAAGTATGTAAGTTATATGAGAGAGAAGTTAGTAATTTGTCTTCTTTTTTAAAATTAAACAGGCAAGGATATAGGAGACAATGTGGTAGTTAGTTGCTTATCTCCTGTTTAGAAGCTAAAGAACTTCAAAGTTTAAATCAACTATTTTTGCCAATGTTGATGACTAAATTATTGCCCCTTGACTCAAATGACACTTAAGTGATGCATGCCACTACTTTAATTTTTAGGACAGTCTTAGTGTTCCTTATTGTTTTCAATATGAGTATCTGTAGTTACTACGGAGATAACAGGAATCATCACAACTAAATTAGGTAAAGAGGGTTTTATTATGTTGCAAATGAATACAGCTCATTCCATGCTGAAATCAACATTTTCCCAGACAAATGAAAAATTCCTGCTTTTCTTTTATTGTTGCTTTTTGAATATTTTTAAATACCCGACTTGTATTAAATGTGTGTGCTTATTGCATATTCTAATGAAATAAATTCTGTTAAAAGGTCTTTTTCTTATCATAGGAAACCTTATGTGATCATGGGAAGGTTGCTTGTATGATCTGATTCTTTTGGACTTGGTATAATGCTTTGATATGTCAGTGGAATCTACTGCTGAAATTTGGAACTTTTGCCCTTATCTCCCTTATCAGTAGGCATGCGAAACAGTCTGTGACGAGACAAAGCAATAGAATCAATTTATAATAGATAAGGCTTACTTTGTGGGATGTTTTATCATAGCTACATAGGATATTGTGATTTTTAAACTACAAACTAACTTCCTCCCCAATTTTAAGAAAGTTGATGTTGTGTTCTCAGCTTACCTGCTCAACCTGATCTTTTTCCAGAAACAGTTCATATCCTCTTGATAGTACACTGTTCATTGTTTTTACAAGTAGGGCTGGCAAGCAGTCATTATTATAGTTGTCTTTAATTTTAGCCAAGATTTTAAAACAAATTTGTCTCCTACTTTTTGCATTTATAATTTCTATTTATACCTATTTTTAAAAACTGTCTCCAGGACCCCCGCAGATACCAAATTCTGTGGATGCTCAAGTCCCTTATATAAAATGGCATACTATTTACTCATGACCTATGCACGTCATCCCGATATACTTTAAATTCTCTCTAGATTACTTATAATATATAATATAATATAAATGCTTTGTAAATAGTTTTTATACTATATTGTTTAGGGAATAATGACAAGAACAAAAAGTCTGTACATATTCAGTACAGATGCAAGCATCCCAGGCCTAACTACGGTCGTGCACATCAGAAACAAGTAACTTTTTTTTCCGAATATTTCTAATCTGTGGTTGGTTGAATCCCCAGATGCAGAACCCACAGATACTGAGGGCCAAATGTATAGCAATTTGGGTTTTGAAGGATGGGCAGTGGCACTGCTTTAGTTATATATTGCTGTATTACAAATAATGCTGTAATATACTAGCTTTAAACAAATATGTATTGTTTTATAGTTTCTGAGGAACAGGAATCCTGGAACAGTTTAGTGAGATGTTTCTGATTCAGGGTCTCCCCTGAAGTTGTAATCAAGCTTTCAGCTGGGGCTGCATCATTTGAAGTCTTGACTGAGGCTGGAGAATCCATTCCCAAGAAGGCTCATTCACTTGGCTGTTGGATGAAAGTCTCAATCTCTGGCCATGTGGGCTTCTCTCCAGGGCTGCCTAAGTGTTCTCAAGATTTGGCAGTTGGCTTTCCAGAACAAGTGATGACACAGTCTAAGCTGGAATCCACAGTGTTTTATTATCCAATCTTGGAAGAGATAGTCCATTTCTTTTGTCCTGATACATTGTAGGAGGGTACTATACAGGGTGTAAAACCAGGAGGCGAAAGTCATTGGGGAGCATCTTAGAGGCCGATTTCCACACTTATTTAAGATGCTGTAATTAATGTTTATTGGAGAATTTCATAGAGAGATAAGAGTTGGCTTTTGGGGTGACACAATAAAAGGTTTAATTTGAAAAAAGGAGCTTCCTAGGTAATATTTTTGTTAAATGTGTACTTAAGGTATTTTAAAAATGGGATTCTTTTTATATATATAACAAATAAGATGTACTAATATGAACAGAGCAGTTATTCTATCAATGTTAGATCTTAATCAGCTTGCATTTTTTTCTTTTTTGTTGTAGAAGTGGTAATTACATACATTTAGGTTTGCTTTTTACCATTTATCTACATTCTAATAGACACACCATATAATTCTAAACTATAATCTTGTAGTTCTCACCTTTTGTGATTATTTAAGGTAGGATAAGGAGCTTTGTTTTGAGAACTTCTGCATAGCATAAGGGGTCTTTGTCAAAGTGAAAGGCTGGAAGATAAAAAGCTGATATTAAAATGGCTACGTAGAATGCTTAAAAACAAGATTTTTCATGGAGTGCTGATCCACTAGGGATCTTGAACTCTTAAGGAGAGTATCTCCATTTTTCTCATCTTATTGTTCAGGATTATGTGAGAAAGTAGCAACTCTGTTAAGCTATTAACTATTAACCCCTGAGGTGAATTAGAGATAATTTTGGCTTTTGCTCAAAGAGAATAAGAAAGAGGGCAAGGAAAACATTTCATCCTCCAAATTAAGATACATGAGTAAAGATATTTCAGTCCCTTGGTTGAAATAGTAAAAAAGGAATGAGGGAAGGGTAGCCCCAACTAGACCCAGCAAGAGGCTAAGAGCCAGGATGAGGCTCTGCAGTGTGAATTGAATCAGGAGGAGTGAGAGAGATCTAATAAGCTGAGAGGTCCTATACCTTGGGCCTAGATAGGTTAAATGAAGCTTTGCCATGACCAATTATTTTATCAGAATGCAAAGAAACTAATTATATCAGTATGTTTCAACAAGCTTAATTCTGAATACTTTAGAGTTACTGGGCATATTGGAGTGGCCCCTGTTATTAGGGATTACTGCCAGTAGAGAACAGATAACACAAATAAGATTATTTTCCATTATAAAATGGATATACGCTGTTTAAATCTTTAGTACATACAACTTATATCTGGAGTTATGTGTGATTTAAAACAACCATTCTATTACATCTCTTGATTTTGTGAATCAGGACTATATTCAGGGTTCAACTGGATGATTCATCAGTTTCATGTGGTGTCTATGGAGGTCACTCTGTAAACTTCAGCTGGAAGATGGGCTGGTTAC